AGTCTGAATTAAGAACAGTTCCTATACATGTTGTCTTCAGGCACATACATGTTTGAAAGCAGGCAATTCTTTTCTTAGCCTTGCTTTGTTTGTGCCTAGACCTGTGACATGCAGCAAAGCAAAATTTATGTGCTGTTCACTTGAGAAACTGCTATACAGGCTGGCCAAGTGAGGCATGGAAGATTTAATAGGCAGGGTCACTGTACTAGGGATTAGATTTATGCATTTTTATTCCAGATCATTTAGAGCGTAAGAAGTATCCTCATTCTTTTGCAGCTAAAACGTGTTCTCCATGAGAAAAGAACAAAATAGTAATGGACATCCGGAATATATTTTGGGCTGGGCTGGGTATATGATGTAATTCCTTGAGAATGAGGGAAACCAGCAGGATGTGATATTGGGAACAGAAGTCGGCTTCCTGTGAATTTTAGCATTTCCGTTTTTTGCCTCGATACCTGTGAAAATATGCTTGAAAGTGTGTGGGTAATAGCTGAAGGTTGTGAACAAACTTTGAGTAGTCAAAGGCCTAGGTATTTCAGTGACCTGCCTTTGATCTCACCCCTTCTATTGGCTAGAAAGATTAGACCAATCCTGAAAAATGTGCTTAACCTTCATAATTATTACTAGTCCCAGAATTTAGCTTTCCTTTTCACAGAATTTGGATTACCTGGGCACAGAATTTTCCTTCTTTCAATGCAGTGTAGACAGCCTTGATTTGGAGCATAAACTAATTCTGTACATATATTAGACTAATCTAAGGTTGAATACGTTTTATGCAAGAGATGGGGCATGTTAGAAATGCAAATGAGTAAAGTTACTTTGAGTGGGACTCATTTGAGGGCACAGCTCCTAGCAATTTTCAATTAACGGTTTGGGAATAAAATGAATAATCTAGTGGCCTACGGTCCTCCTGGGGATGCTGTACAACTGTTAAACACCATAGATTTTGGGCCAAAGATGGACAGGCTGTTCAGCTCATGAAACACTTCCAATTTGGCTTTTGGCGCCGGAGTATTGCTGATTTGCATGAATTGTTTATGCTTAATCAGTATAGTTTGCAGCATGGGAAGGCCAGACTAACACTGTCCATAACCAGGGTTCTCCCCCGCCCCTTCAACACCAAATACCATTTGTGAAATTGTTGGCATTAAGATAATGAATAAGAGTCTTACTAGAATGTTGTATCACCGAATGGTTTACACTTAAAATTTAAAAATGTGATTATTTAGCACAATGCATAGTATTAGAGAGGTTGCTTTCAATAAACAGTGTCATGTGTATTAGCACATGTGATATATCTGCCTCCAACCACCCAGCTGGTTAATCAAAGGCCCTTAGTATTGCCAATTCTTCAAATTTATAACCTTTGGAAAGATAGGGAGATATAGGTAATGCAATTTGGAAGCGCAAGTATGGATATTTTTTATTTGCCTTTGTTTGAGACGCTAGAAAACAACATACTGTAATGTGGAAGCTTTTCTCATTTAAATAGGAAGGCTAGCACTTGCAATATTACTCTCTTGAAATGATTTTCCCCCCAATTAGATTCTAGGCTATGTTGGTTGACACTTTTTTTCTCTTTTTTGTTGCTGATCCTGTACCTTTAACTGCAGCCTGATATATAGACATTTAACAAATATACGTACATCCCTCACCTGCTTTCCAAGAAAACTTATCCTGCTGGATTTGTGTCAGACTGCTTTTAAAGGCACAAGGCCAGAAACTTTAAAAAGGTACCAAACCAAAGCTATTCAAAAATGCCTAAAGGCATCTGTACATAGCAGTTCTACCTGGCCTGCAAACACAGGTAACAGATGCCTTTAGGCATTTTTGCATAGCTTTGTGTACAGGACACTACAGATATTTATTTATATTTAACAAGATGTATGTACTCTTTGATTGTAGATACAACTTCTATGCAGTTTATATGTGGTATACATGTTAATGCCATGTTGGCAGTAGACATACAATATTGGGCAAATGTTAACCCTGTTTTGCACTCTTCCCACTTCGAGATCCTCCACACACACACCTTGGCATCTTTGTTCTTTTCTTTTTAAGGAAAAGCTCGTGTTTCCTTCAGATGCATTTTTACACGCAGCTTTTTAATTTTGGCGTTCCAAGTTTTTGCTCTTAGGTTGTTGGTGGAGAAAGAGAACTTGCCAAAAATTAAGCTGTGCTGCAACCCCAAGTAAGTTTGTACCTGTTGTTTTAGACTGCCAGAGAAGAAACTGCAGGAAGCCTAGGCTGGAGTGGCAGCCACAATGGAAAGCAGGAAAGTGCATGTGTGAGGAAACCACCTAGAGAACTGTGTGGACACAAAACGGAACCTAGCTATTGCATGGGGAAAGCTAATGCCTGCCCTGGAACCATTTGTGGATAAGCCAGGGTAGGGGAAACCAACAGACTTTTCGAGAGGTAGAGTTGTGATAGAGCTTGGAGAATAATGCAACCTTCTGCAATCTTGGCAGAGCAGGCCGTCTCTCCGTTCTAGACCTAGTCACTCCTGACATGGAGAATGGACTATAAATGACAGATGAATAAACCAGACTTTTATCAGTGAATTAATTTAAAATCATTTTTGCTTTTGCCAGATATGTTAAGATCCACACACTCCTTTTCAATTCCGTGCTGTATAATTGAGTCCAGTCAGGTTTAATAATTCATAGAACTAATCTGGGTGCCATCTATGTTTCTAAAAAGAATAATTGCCCAAACCCATTCTAATTCATGGTTAATTAGTGTACTATCAAAATAATGTGTTACAAAATTAATTACTTGTTGGGTTAAAAGTGGGCTGAAAAGCTTAATGCGTGGAAGCCTGAGACAGCATTTTCCTACTTAAAATAATGATCTACATCTGCTGCCTTTCTGAATATCATGTAGAATGAAACATGAATTGGGTTAGGTGCAGGTGTCATCAAGATTCATGATGAGGAAGAGCCATACCTACCTAGCTGGTGGCTTTATGAAGCACTGCAAAGAAGTTTGAATAGTCCAGAAAGAAATGCACTCTGTTACAAAATTTCATGAGCTGCATTATTATTTCCAGTTTCACTTTAGTACAGGTGGTTAGGAAGATCATTTCTGCAAGTGTGTCACATGTTACATCTGGATTAAATATTTTAGTAGGTAGTTTTAATTAAGAACTGCAATGTGTACAGTCCGAAGGCATGAGATTGAGGTTGTTTCTAAAAATGTGAGTTGCTTTTTACTTAAAAGTTTGTGGACTGAAAAAATACAGGATGTTTTTAGTTTAAGATGATGAAACTTTCTAAAAATGTTCAAAGTCCATAAACTTTCAAGAGCACTGTTGTTCTGGCCATGGGTGGGAGTCTGCAGGATGAGGTGACATTCTGGGTCACAGACCCGGGTATACCGTGCCAAAGATCAGTAAAGGCCAGAGAAACAGGAACCAGTTCTGAGATTGGCTGAAGGTTTCCCACAGGACCTCATACAGGTATGAGGCAGAGAATTTGTGTCAATGATAGCCAGAGAGAGAGAGAGAGAGAGAGAGAGTGACTGAGCGTACACAGAGCATGAAGTCCTAGCTGGTCCCACCTTTCCAGGTTGAGGAGTGCTTCATTAAAAGACCTGTGCTTGCTCTTTGAGTCTTGTACTCCATTGGTAATTGGGGATCTCTTTATAGGCTCAATGAGTAGGTCTGCGCAACCGTGACCTCTGGTGTTGCTGATTGGTCCTGAGCTGCTGCCTCAAATATTCAAGCACAATTCTCTCCATACACACCACCATGTTTTCTCCCTATACCACTGGATCCCTAGGTTGTGTGGATTGTCCATCAGTTTCTCACCTCAGAGGAAATTTCCTTGTGGTAAAGGTGGGGAACCTGTGGGCCTCCAGTTGTTGCTTGACTACAACTCCCATCATCTCCAACCTTTGGCCATGCTGCCTGAGAATGCTGGAAGTTGGAGTTGAACAGATTTCCCCATGTAAACCATGTCCTAGGAAGCACAGTCATGTAAAGTCCTCCTAAATTGCAACATAATCCTATAAAATTCCAATAAAACAAGGCTATTGCAGTGCAGTAATGGTAGCAAATAAACCGACTAAATATTACGCTTTTAAATATGGGAAATTCTTTTATCTTTTTGTTTTTATGAATACTTTTAATAGGCTTATAAATGGTTCTTGATCCGATGCAATATCCATGCCAAAGTGGTTAGCTTTCGGTTGGCTCATGGGACTGTCCCAACATGTCATCGGCCCAAGGCATGTGGCAGGTCACACTCTGGACCTTGTTTTCTTAGCTGGGCAGGAAGAAAGTGATCTGAAAGTGGGGAGTATCGACATCAGTCCCTTGTCATGGTTGGATCACTTCCTGTTACAACTGAGGATCTCAACAACTTTCTCCCTCTGCAGAAGCAGGGGGTCTATGAAAATGGTCCTCCCTCAGAGGCTGATGGACCCAATTGCTTTTCAGATGGCCCTGGGGGATTTCCCAGCTTATATGACTGAAGCCCTGGGTGACTTGTGGAACATCTGGATGGCTTGGGCTTTTGTCATGATTACCCCTGAGCACCCTCTCCCACTCCTTGGAGCCCGCTTGGCTCCCTGGTATACTCCAGAGCTTAGGAAGAGGAAACAAGCTGGGAGATGGCTTGAATGCAAGTGAAGAGAAAAACTGGTCAAATGCAATCGAACACTGGTGAGGGCTGATCATCAAGCTTACCTGGTGGCCGTGAAGACAGCAAAGAAGGCATACTTTGGCTGCCTCCATTGCATCCTTATTGGTTTGGTTTGTTTTTACATATTTTGTGTTCTTGTTTTGTATCTTTGTGCTGTGAACTGCCCTGTGATCTTCGGATGAAGGGTGGCATACTAATTTAATAAATAATTATAATTCAGAAAGGCAGTTATTTTGTTACAGTGCAAGCCCTGTTGATATTAATGTATCAAATGAAATGCTTTGAGGCTCACATTGGTTATCTTAAGCTATTACAACAGTTTCACGCAATGTTGTTGTTTGCTTGATATTTTAGGGCAGAGCTCTGCTGCACTGGGCATGCGACAGAGGACACAAGGAACTCGCCTCAGTACTGCTGCAACACACTGCGGATGTTAACAGCCAGGTACAGATCGGAGCAGTGACCACTCTGGTATATCTAGTGCATTTCGAAAGGGAAGCAAATACAGCAAAAACGTTCTCAGTTGCACAACTGAAGGATATGTAGGGCTCTTTCAGGATTCTGTTCTGTTTGAGTACTTTTGGTGCCTCTGCTCATCATAATTTCAGTGTTGTACTGTTTAATGTCTCAACAGCACCATGTCATACTTTCTACAGCACATAGCAGGACAGTCCCTTCTTACAAGGGTTTAGCACAAACACAAGTGAAGGGAGGAAGAGGTGAATGGAGGACCAACTTGGGTGATATGTTATGAGGAACGGCTAAGGGAGCTGGGCATGTTTAGCCTGGAGAAGAGGAGGTTAAGGGTGATATGATAGCCATGTTCAAATATATAAAAGGATGTCATATAGAGGAGGGAGAAAGGTTGTTTTCTGCTGCTCCAGAGAAGCGGATACGGAGCAATGGATCCAAACTACAAGAAAGAAGATTCCACCTAAACATTAGGAAGAACTTCCTGACAGTACGAGCTGTTCGACAGTGGAATTTGCTGCCAAGGAGTGTGGTGGAGTCTCCTTCTTTGGAGGTCTTTAAGCAGAGGCTTGACAACCATATGTCAGGAGTGCTCTGATGGTGTTTCCTGCTTGGCAGGGGGTTGGACTCGATGGCCCTTGTGGTCTCTTCCAACTCTATGATTCTATGTGGGAGTTAGCATCCATACATATTAACTGAAAAGCATCACCAGGGTTCTGCTAGCTTGAGGAGTGGGGCGGAATGGCAAGAGCGGGGGGTTACCCATTTCCCCTCTGACCATTTGTTGACTTCAAATTGTGCCCCTCCCTGGCTGCTTTCCTATAAATGTGTAGTGGTGGAGATGCATGGGTCTCTGTTTCTTTTCCCCTGTGAAGAGAAAAGCAGCTTCAGGTGGGCAATTTTGAGTGAACAAACAATGAGAAGAAAAAGACTGAAGTTTTTTCTTTCGCCTTCCTGCTCTTCCTCCTCACACGGATGAGCAGAAGAATTCTGTTGGAAGAATTTTGGAGGAGAGGTTTGATAGAAGCGATGATAGATTGTCTGCATTATGGAGATGTCAGCTAAGGGATGAAAATCAGATAAGTTGAATCTGAGAAAGTGAGAACAATTAAATAATAGAGAGGAGGGGAATTTGTTTAAAGCGTTCTGTTTTCACTTATAAGTGCTAGGAGCCTAAAGATCATGCAGAAAGAGAACTAATGCATCAGCTTAGAGGTGATGAAATCATGGCTGTTGAAGGGAAATGAGATTTTTTTTTAAAGATGACATACCAGCAAAAGTGGGGCTTACTTAGCCAAGGGATGAGTAGAGCACAGATTAGAGTTTTATCTAGCTACGAATTTCCTTCCTGATGTACAGAGTTAATTGACTACTGTTGGGTTATACACACTGGTTTCATGAGAGAGAAACCCTACTAGGGCTGGAACACGATTTATTTCTACAGTCAGTTTCTTTGGTATGATGTGCAGCAACTTGCTTCCTGTGCCCTTGCTTAAAAATACTTACATTAAAAGCAGCCAGCTTTTTCAACAAACAGCTTTTTTACAAACAATGCAATAAATAGTTGACTAATAGTTGCTTCATTAGTAAACTGTTGTTATAAAAGTTCAGAAGAAGAATATGTTTCTTAATGAGCAACACAAGCTTAGTTGATGAAGTGTTTAGTGCTTGATACTTAAGTAGGTGCAGTTAAAGTGCATATTATTCTTTGATCCTTAGATATCTTTTCAACCTGGTGTACCATGATAACAATCCATGAAAACTCAAAGTTTAAGATGTTCATTTCAGTTTTTGAAAGCAACAAAAATGTACTGGTTGCAAATTTTAAACATGGAATTGACTTGGGAAATTACATTTTTTAAAACACAGAAACCTTTCTCTCCTTTTCTCTTTCCTGCTTTTTATATATTGCCATTTTCTAGCCAGACTTATTTGGGGTTAATAATGGTTATAAAATGAAAATATTTTGTATTACACCCCCTCCCAAATAATAACAGAGGAGGCTTTCTAAAAGATCTTGAATGGAATAGAAATGTATCAGAGAAGCCAGGTATGTGCACATAGACACACATGCATCCATGACTCCAACATGGGTTAAATTCTAGTAATATTTTGTGTGTTTGTGCATATGATGTTATCTTTATGCTGAGGAAAGCAGAGACCTTTATGCTAGAGGAGGACATACTCCAAACTACAGTTGGAAACCTTTTGCCAGTCAGAGTAAATAGTACTGGTCTAGGCAAAGCACACTTTGATTTCTGAAGCAAAAGTTTGGCCAGTACTGCAGTGCTTGCAGACAGTACCACGTAGTGAATACTAATGTGGAATAGCTAGAATGAGTGTTGGGCAGTGGTTAGATCCAGAGTCACCAATCTTCAGATGATAGTGGGAACCTGAAAAACTGTTGTAGGTTACAACACAATCTTATATATACACCTTATATACATCTTATATATATGATGTAAGCAACAAGCAGACATGGATTCATTCACAGGAGGCCTCAGATGTTTCATATGGCAGGACATCTTTGCTGGTCCCAGTTTATTCTCCCAGTCTGTATTTTGGCCTTAAAGACCCGAATGAGAGTGCATGGAGGGTAAGAAAGCTTATTCTGCTGTATGAACAGCAACATTGCTGACCATGGGGCACATCTGTTAAGACATCAGACTTAACTTCCGATTTCCCAGCTTTGTGGAGTTTTGAGTCAGCTTGAGGTGGCCTTTACTCTGGCCTTAAACTGGCAGGTGTTTAGGGGGGGAAATATTTGAACTGCAGCAACAGAGTGGCAGAGCTTTTTTCCTTCCAGATTATAGGGCAGGCTGAGTCCAGCTCTTTTCAGTGTTGATAATTACCTTTAATAATACATTTGAAAAGAGATGGTGATTGCTTGGGATGGGGGGAGTGCAGAAAGAACTAATTTGTGGAGTGGGAGGCAGGCTTTGCTTTGTGTTGAAAAGGGTCATTTGTGTAATCTAATTACCTAAATCCTTAGCCACAGGCCTTTTCCTAGTGGGTGGCTCTGTCTTGAGAGCTATACTTAGAACTTAGATGGTTTAGGCATCTTGTAAGTGAGTGGCTGCCCCAGATCCAAAATCTGCATCTCCTGTTTTGTTTTCTAATTTTAACACAGATTAAAAAAATAGGTATGCCTACTGTGAATAAATAGGCATAGTTCAGATATAACACTGGTCTATTCTTTGTGTGGGACACGGGTGGTGCTGTGGGTTAAACCACAGAGCCTAGGACTTGCTGATCAGAAGGTCGGCGGTTCGAATCCCCGCAATGGGGTGAGCTCCCGTTGCTAGGTCCCTGCTCCTGCCACCCTAGCAGTTTGAAAACACGTCAAAGTGTAAGTAGATAAATAGGTAACGCTCCGGCGGGAAGGTAAACGGTGTTTCCGTGCACTGCTCTGGTTCGCCAGAAGCGGCTTAGTCATGCTGGCCACATGACCTGGAAGCTGTATGCTGGCTCCCTCAGCCAATAAAGCGAGATGAGTGCCGCAACCCCAGAGTCGGTCACGACTGGGCCTAGTGGTCAGGGGTCCCTTTACCTTTTTATGCTTTGTGTTATGTGCACAAGTCTTTGGCTGATTGTGCTCTGCCTTCTCCTCTCCCCTTCCCCTCGCCTATTCACAATTTCTGTTTTTCAGTTAGCTGCAGTTTGTTCTCATGTGTGAACTTGGAGCGGTGGTTTGTCTTATGATTTAGAGCAGAGGTAGCTAACCCTTTCTGCCCAGAAAGCCTGGTCAATACCTTCCAATCCCTCTGGGAGCCACCTGTAGCCAAAAAGTGGGTGAGGCCACCTACAGCTGACATGCACACCAGGTAATACACAGTCATACATGCATATAGACATACACAAGCAGTGCAAATCTTAGATGATAAATCTGGTGAGTGGCAGATTGTTCCTTGTTCCTTAAGTACATAAGCTTGCTGCTGTGCATGAGGGAGCTGCGTCCAAAGGTAACCAAGTACTCTCAAGCTAGTTTGTTGCGTCAAGCTGTAATTTGTGATATGGCTAATTTCCATCTTGCATAGGGTGTTATAAAATTTGAAGTTATCACCAAGATTCATACCAGATTAAGAATATAAGCAGTAACTCTTATCTACTGAACGTTAGAAATAGTTTGAAACTAACTAGGTAAAGCCAAAAAGGCCTATGACCACAGTTAACGCATTAAACGCAGGAAACCTGCCTGGAAATGGGCAGGTCTGTTATATCCACCAGGATATGAGTTGAGCGCTGAAGATTCATGGAGATAATTGCCGAGTTATATAACATATTTACAGATCTTTCTTACAGAGGATGTTAGAGAGAGACCTCTAGCTGATAAATATGAAAGTTTACCACAGTTTGAAGTGTTTGTAGAGGACACAATAGACTTTGAGAGGATATTGATAGTTTAAATAAGTCTTCAAGACCGGATTGCATAAGATCCTTTACAGATTTGTTAACAATGCCAGCTTTTTATTTATTCAAAAAAAGGCAAATTGGGTGAGCTTAACAAGGTAAATTGCCTGGTATTAACACCAGCCAAACATTCTTAACTATGTTTAATTTAGATAAATCTTGATATATTAGTGAAGAATTAGAATGCCTTTGTGAGAGGAGATCATTGTTTTCACAGATGTTTGTAAATAGCAGTTTTACCAGGGTAGAGGAATAAACACAGAAATACTTAACTCTTTGTAGTTTGGACCTGCATATGTTCCATACACAAAAAGGAAAACTAAAACAGGCACTATTATCAGTTGATACACTGTTTGTTTTGTTTAACTAAAAATTTAAATCCTGCCTTTTGGTTCCCCTATGGAACTCTAAAAGCAGCTCATAGCCTGAATAAAATGATAAATAAAACCACAAATGATCATAAATTTCCAAAATAAGATGGCAGAAGCAGTTTAAAAAAACAAAAAAACCCTTAGTGCCGAGAACAATGCATATCAAAAAACCAAAACCAACAATGCATATGG